TCCCTAGCTCTATAACTGCCTGTTGTTCTTTATACAAAGTAAGTACAATCCTGTCTGTGAATAATTGTGCAGTAGTGATTTTTACGTAAACACAATTAAAAACGTTTTTACCGTAACTGTCATGTTACTTATTAACGAAGAACTTTCAAGTTAGTTTTTTTTTTATTGCAGCTAATCCTATCCTCCCTCCCAAATAAAATCCGTAAGATAAATAAGACGGGCGTATACAATTTCAGCATCAGGAAACTTTCAGCGGTTCTAAAAGGTTTTGATTACCAGATGTTCGTTTTGGGGCTTTAGCAGTTTAAAGCGATAGCTTTAACAATGTGAATGACGACAAGCAATTTATTATTCTTTTTGCATCCGCGACCAGAAACAATGGTACCTACTAAATTTAATAAACTATGTATTTCGAGAATATATGATTCTCAAAAATTTTCTTTTGTGTATTAGTGAATTAATTTTTGAATTAATTTTATCCACTACAGATAATCTCAACAGCAACAATTTTTCCCCATTAATTTGAGGTTATCTGTAGTGTGTAAAATTAATTCACTAATACATTGAATTAACGCTACAAAAATACAAAATACAAAAGTATCTCGTTAGTAAAACATGTAAGTAATTATTATACTAGAGATGTAATATTTTTAAATTAAATTCAAAAGATCTTTTATAATTCTCAATTTAATTAATTATTATAGTATTTTAACTGATAAAACTATTGAATTTTTCACAAAACAAGACAGTAATTACCTTTTTTACTTGAAATTTAAGTTACAAAAGACAAAAGAGAAACAGCAGAGAAACGCAAACAGGTTTTAAAAGTTTTGAAAAATTGACACATTTTAGTTATTCTTCTAATAGCGTTCAAGAGCTTCATAGGTTTTTGCAAATTTCGGAAAATTAAGCCAGTTGCTGGACGAAGCTCTGCTACAGACTGGTTTCACGTTTTGTAGATTTTATTTTGCATGAAACCCCATAGGAAAAAATTCAAAATCGAAAGATCTGTCCTTGAAGAAAGACATTGTCTAAAAATACCTATAACAACGTACAGTTGTGTCTTGGAACACCGTCTTGTTGACTATGCATCTTTCAAAAATGAAACATGAGACCCCAGTCCCAAAACGTCTTTGTTGTGTCCTCTTAAAAATTAAAAAGTGATTTTCTGTGGACCAGTTGATCGATTGAAAATAATCGCACATGAAATATAAGATTCATCGGACCAGATAATGAGTCTGCCAAAAAAAAACTTTTGGGTGTTTCATTGCCACCAGTCAGTAAGGCCCTCTTCAGCCTGCTTTCAGGAATTGTGGGAATGGGTGGGTGGTGGTTCGGGTGAGAAAGTTGAGACGGACGAAATGAAGACAGAAGAGAATGAAAGATTATCTGTGGAATATTACTGCCCCAGCATTTGCCTAAGTGATCCAAGGAAACCACAGAAAAAGTTGGACCAAGGCAGACAGACCCGGAATCGAATCAGCGTCCTCCCAAATGCTAAGCAATGGTCTAAACCTCTAGGCCATGCTGCTCGGTCTGAGTCTGCCAAGACATTCAGTAGTATATGGATATATACCAATACCATTGACAAAGTAGCATTCCAGGTGCTATGTGGAATTTATATGAGTTACATTTTACTTTTTGTTTCAAGCAAATTAGTCAAAGCGTATTACCTACTAATTTGACACAAAAGAAAATTTTACAAAATCTTGAACTTGTGTTTCAAAATAATTGTATATAACGACATATTTTTGAAAAGCACACAATATGCTTAATAAATATAAAATTATCCATTTAAAAAGACATATATTTGTTTCATAACTGAAAAATTGAAGGTACCAGAGAAAATTCTATAAGAGTACCTTTTAATTTCTGGTTTAAAGATAACTGAGATGAGTGCCTCAAAGGTGATCCTTTTTAATTGCACCCTGTATCTCAAAAAATACAAATGAAATGAAAATTCTGCTGATACCCCCCTTAATTTCACAAAAAAGTAGCAGACTGTTGCAAAAACCGCAACTCTCTATCTTTAACAATAAGGGAGGTATCATGCGAATGTGATAAAACCGGGATTTACTGTAAAGTCGCTTTTGAACTAATTTGTAAGCCTAAAAAATAGGATTTACTATGAACAACCAATTGTAATTAAATGTGATAAAATCGAACCAAAACTCTTCTAAAAATACTTCTTAAATTGTGAGCATGATTTATTGAAAACAAGAAAAGAGCCGCTAGGCTTAAAAATTGCATTGATCAATGTCATCTGGAACAAGCGGATTTCGTTGCTACATTTCACGCTGCTTTGTTTTTATACTTCAAGAAATTTATTTGTTGTGTTTTTTATTAAAAATTCTTCAGCACGATATTGCCTGTTAAATATTTCTGTTTGACAGTAAAGTAACAAATTTCTCGTATGGTATGAGACCGTCCCAGTCGATCTCCAATTCTCTGAACATCTCGTAGGATTCTTCTTGAGTTATTTTATTTTCCGTTTGTGTTATGTAATAGTTCAATTCCGATGCTAAATTATATCCACTGTAACCCTCAAAATCGAAGGAGCGACACAGTTGATAATGATCAAAAAATAAGTGTAAATCCTCATCTCGGTCCAATGCTTGAAAAGCTTCCCTTAGAGGAATAGGGTCGTCGGTACCTAAAAGAATATTTTTAACCAGTGTATACTGGTAATTTGCAATTAAAATGATTATGTTATTATAATTATACCTGAACTGCAAATAATTAGCTATAATAAAACCATAACTAATAAAAAACATAAACAAGAACTAGAATTTGCCATCTTTTTTTCTAGGTACCTAATACATAGTGCATGTATTGTAATAAAATAATATTTGCTGTCCCTTACAACGACAATTTCATTATTAATATGTAGCATGTCGTAGAGATACGATTTATTTGAAATACATACTTGCATTTAAAAGGTAAATGCGAAATACAATATACCTAATTATATTTAAATGTTTTCTTTAAGCATTTTGCATTTAATTTAAAATACTTCCCCAGATGGCTATTTTATTTGTAAAATCATAAATGATCCTACTTGGTCACATTGGTCATTGAAGGCATTAAAAGTTTAAGGTGACAAAGATCTATTCTATAGATGCCTTCCAATAGTTGAACCGCAAAGAAATTTGAATTCTTTGGAAGTGGATAATACATAATATTGTGGATTCGATTGTTGACATTGTTGTCCGGGCTGTTTTGCCGTAGTCCATCGAATTTCATAGTTTCAAACGCCGCATAACTGATATCAATACCTGCCGAATCAGTACTGAAGGTGCCGTCAGCGAGGAACGACTTAACCTTTCGGTCACGACAAAGCAACCGACAAAAAAATATTGTAGCGAGCACGAGTGTGCTTGTATGCGATCGTGCACACGAGTGCGTGAACGGCTTATCGATTCGCCGACTAGCCGCGGGCGCCTTTCTTCATGTGCGCCGTATTTGTAAATGTGTGTGTCGTACCTGCGTTCTGGGAAAGCAATTAAACAGTTCAAAGAAAAAATCTAATCCGGATGTTTCCAGACGGTTCCAGAAAGTAAACAAAAGAGTATTTAAAGGAAGAGACGATCACCGAAAAAAGAAGAAATAAATTGACCGTTGCAGAAGTGAGTCGAGAAATAAATTGACAGTGATAGCAGTGAAATAAATATCGCAGTGANTTTTCTACTCGGGCCCAGAGACAACAGCTGAAGCATTGCATCCAATTTTCCCCTCGTTGATTTTCGGAGAATTTTCCGTTACAGAAAATACAGTCAGCGTCTTTGTTTTTTCGGTTGTTTAATTGATGGCATGGAGTTCATTACATCGGAATGGAACGGCTACTCGCTGCTGACACTGCGGTTGTTTCTTGTAGGTTTTAGGTCTAGAAAGTCTGTTTAAGTTTAATTTCGTAACTAGGATATTTGAATGTTCGTTTTCTTTTGTTGCTTTGAAGCCGCTGGTTATGGGGGAGGATCATTTGTTGGCCTCATAGTTTGAGGCTTAGGGACAGTTGTGTAGAAGCAATAAAATCTTCACTGCTAAAAGCATAATGTAGTCAAGATTGCGGAGGATGTAGATTTTTACTTTTAAAGAAAAAGGAAAATCGGGAGTGTGTGCCTGCCTATTGTGCATCTCAGTATTTCATGTTAGTTGTGCTGAGAGGAAATCGAAGGCATCTTTATTTTTTGTGGATGAAATGTCGAAACCGAAGTGATATTGAAAGAATGAAGGAAAAGAATGAATTATTAATGCAGACGAATACGGAATTAAAAAGTAAAGATGAATTACGCACAAGCACAAGCAGTGGCAATATCTACTGGTATTCGAAATTGCAACAACAGATAAGTCAACTGAAATAGTGATAAAAAGTGAAAATCAAGGAAAAACTAATGAAATACTACACAAAGTTAAATTTAAACCGAAAGAAAATAATGTTAAAGTTAATTTACTAAAAAAAGTTAATAATGACAAATTATTCCTGAATGTGGTCCTACTAATTATATTGTGAGTTTGAGAAAGTTCTTATCCACTATACAAAATACAAAAGTCAATTTAAAAAAGCTGAAAGACCCGTTAATTAAAATCGTTGGAGTACAGATGTCAGGTGAAAAGATGATTTAGTCAAAGAATTAAGTACAAAAAATACCATTCCAACAGAAGATACCTCAGTCAATCATATTTTCAAATCAAATCAAAGTAGTGAAATTTATTTGTTGAATATTGTTTTAGATTGCTTTAAAGCTATAAATGGCACATTCTTGAGCGAATGTTTTGTGCATCAATAATTTTGGTAGGCAACGTTAACATTTTTGGTATCTTGGGGTTCAGCATCTTGTAGAATAATTATATATTCCGTGTGAATGGTGGGTGTTAATTCATTCATTTCAAAGTACCATTGGTAGTAGGGTGGCGCAAAAAAACCGACTATTCAAATTTTTTTACTCGTTACGGTATAATTTTATCGACCACAAAATAATAAGTTTCTGAAAGTTTCAGTTCAAAATTTGAATTTTGAAAGGTCGCTCATAATTTTTTTTAATTTACTAGTGCATTACAATTACAAACAAATTCTGTATTCGGAAATGAAGTGGAAAAAGCGGAAAGTCATTTCGTTTTTTCCCGACAGAGGATTTAATTGTATTCTTTTGCACCCAACTTCACATTTAAGCCGTATAGTTTTTATATGCTTCGAGAGCTCATATAGCAAGGCTTGTGTGTGAAAAATTNTTGGGATACAAGATACATAGGTTAGTTATAACTTCCGAATATATCTTTTTAATAATTTTTATCCGTTATTTTTAAATAATTTTCACTTCAGTTTTCTCAAAAATAGTTGAACTCGGCAACGTTATTGTTAATCCACGGCAGTAGTGTACACGTGTTGCACCATAGACTAAATATTTTGGCGTTAAAGCACATAAAGTTATGCAAAAAAAATAGGTTTGACAGAACCTAAAAATAAATTGAACCATGTAAACAAGTTGAAATATTTCATATTTATTTGCAATTTTTGTGGGCGTTTTAAGATCAAGGTGATCGTGCGAAGTGTTGAGGTTATAATCAGGTTGGCGCAGTTGCCATATTTGTGTTGTATTTAGCGAAAATTACCTGTGACAACTCTCCTGTAAAATTGGGAGGGATGGCGCAGTAACTTTGCGGGGGAGATGGTTCGTGAACCATCTGTCTTGTAGAATAGAAAAGTATGCTACTTTATTATCCGTTTAGGATGAGAGGGAGCCATTCAGCAACTAGCAGACTAGGTTCAGGAAGGTAGGAGTAAAGTCCAAGAAGCAATTCAAGAAAATGATACCCCAGGAACCATGTTAGAACTTAATCCCGTACCATGTACATTAGAGTGGCGCAAAAAAAACGACTTTTTTTTTTAATCTCAAGT